TGTCCAAGACCTTCTCCCTCTCCAAGACCCTGACTCGTTCTTCCTCGAATCTACTCTCTCTCTCCTGACTCGTAACCACATCTCCGAGAATCTCTTCTTCTCCGACGAGGCAACACCTTTTCTTCACGTACCGGATCGCAAACCCTCCGACACCGACGTGGAGAAACCTCCGTTTCTCAGCCTCTCTCCTCCGGTAAAGAAACGTCGGCTTCTAAGCACATTCAAAATCTCTCAGTCACCGTCGTCTTCTTCAACCTCAGGATCCCCGGCGGGAACAGTGGACGGCGGTGAGAGGCGGAAGAAAATTTCGGACAAAATCAGATCTCTAGAGAAGCTAATGCCATGGGAGAAGCAGATGAGCTTAGCCACCATACTCGAAGAAACTCACAGATACATCACGTTTCTTCAATCTCAGATCTCAGCACTCATGTGGATGCCACTCGAATCCGTCTACTCAACCATTACGACCAACACCACCGGAGATGTGAACGAAACAGAGCTTCTCGAATCTCTGACACGGCAACAGATTATGCAGGTGATTGCGAATTCTGCTGGTGCAAGAACAGAGCTTTACTCTCGAGGACTTTGTGTCTTCTCGTACGAACAGCTTCTTTCCCTCAAGATGACGACTCAATCGGCCAGAAACCTCTGAAAAACAACTCATCGGACCGGCGATTTGAAGAACACGAGTTTTATTTTTATTCTAAGTTTTCGTTTCTTCCTCTGTTTTTGATAGTAGAAGCTACACAGAGTGTTTTAATGGCGATTGAATCAGAGTTTTGATATTAAGCCATTGTTTTTGATTTCAAGTTTCAATCATCCTTTTCTTCAATATTGTACAAAAAGTTTGGGATTGCTTGAATATCTAACAATGATCTTGAAAATAACTTGGTTGCTTATTCGATCTTCTTCTTCCATAAATCTTCAACAGTTTTAAGTTCCAATATCAAACAAGAAACGTTTTCATCAAAAACCAAAAGCATTCAATGTCGATTACAAAATAAAACCAGAAACATGTAAATCAATTTCCGGATTTTTTTGATTACGGAAATGGCAGCAACAACGAGGGCACACCTCTCCTTGCATAACTCCATCTCCATATCAAACAAAGCCTTGCTTAAATCATTCAACTTTTGGGCCTTTTCATCTCCAATAATTAGCTTGTCCCTCTCCAAAAACTCATCTTCAGTAACAGTTTCTGTAACAGCAACACAAATTTAACACAGATTTATATATCAGAGAGGATTACAAACCTTGTTTCTCCGATTATAACACTGGATTTTCTATCAGTTTCTTACTTTCTAACAAACTTAAAACTTCTAAAAAAAACTGAACATAACAGAGGATTCCTTAACGATCGATCTAGCTTCGTACGAGTA